TCAAAATAGCAAAGTAACTCTAATACAGGAGCAAGACTAGAACTTAGAGCTTTCTATCTCATGAGGCAGAGTATAGTACTTAAACTTCTGGGGCCATATGAGATTTGGATTGAAACTTTATTCTGACATATATTAGCTGCCTGAGACCAGAACATTTAAAAAAAATCATTTAAGGCTCATTTATTTCATCTATAAAATGGGAATGATAATTTATACATGAGAGAGTTGTTGTGAGGGGTATATGAAAACAATATTTATGTAAAGAGCCTGACTTATGGTAAGCAATCAATTAAATGATGATGGTGGTGAGGATAAGGACAGTGATGAGGAGGAAGAAGAAGTAGAAGAGAAGGAGTAAGAGGAGAAAGCAGAGGAGGAGGAGGAGGAGGCAACTCAGTACCTTTTCCATAAGCCTAGTACTTTCCTCTTTCACAAAATTCGACGCTACTTACATAAGCTCCACACTATGGCTTACACACCTGTATCTGGAAGCCATAGCACATTTGTGCATAACTGCACCCAGGTCCATGAATGCTTTCCACATAAGGCAAAGTTCTATTCTTGGCTCTCTGATGTTCCAATTACTGTAACTCCATGATGCAAATCATGCTTCATCCATGCACTGTCCATTAAACCCAAGTGATTGATCATCTACTTCATGGCCCAGCTAGTTCTGCCAAGTCTGGCAATAAGTCACCAGTGAGCAAAGAGAAAACACAAGTCATCAGGCTTAGTTAGAAAGTCCTGTTGAGTCAACTTTCTTAACACCTCTCAGATCCAGCCTCGCCATTGAAGTGACCCTAGCTCAACGTTCTCATCTCTCTTCCAAACAATACTTGTAGGTTCCTATCTAGTCTCCTTGCCACTGGCTCTTTCTCTTCATTTTTCTACTCTGCAGCCAGAAGGGTCTTTTCAAAATGCTTATCTGCCCATATCATACCACTGCTTTCAAGCCAGTGCCTTCCAACAGTCAATGTGATCTGGCTCTGACAACCTCTCCAAACACATTCTCCATCTTCCTGCCCATACCAGTTGCTCATCATCCCTCAAACATGACAAATTTTTCATAAATGTGCTGTTCTATCTGCCCATAATGCCCTCTCTCTACTATGTTATTTATTGAACTCTAATATATCCTTTTACTGTGAAGGCATTCTTGATGATGGCTTGACTTCCAATAGCAGAGTTCACTGCACCCACTCTTTCTTGTATAAATAAGTCATTAAGGCTGGGCTCGGTGGCTCAGCCTGCAATCCCGTGCTTTGGGAGGCCAAGGTGAGTGGATTGCCTGAGCCCACAGGTTCGAGACCCACCTGGGCAACTTGGTGAGACCTCATCTCTACAATAAATCAAAAATTTTTAAAAAATAAAATAAATAAATAAATTATTATAATAACTATGTATTGAGAGCTTTGGTTTTCAAGCACCCAATGACTTTTATATGCATCATCTAATACCATCTTCCCAACAGTCTCATGAAAGAGTATATTTTTCCCCTTTACAATGAGGAAAGTGAAGCTTAGAGAAATTAAGCTAATGTCAGCTAACCTGAGTCTCCTAGTTAGCAAGACCTGTTGAGTATGCCTTCCAAATTTCTCTCAGGATTTAGTCCTTCCTCATTGTAAATTGCACACCATTATTTAAACCCAGATTGGCTTCAATCCAAAATGTCTGATTTTATTACATTCTATTTAGTTAGCTAAATTCTGGGAGTTCCTTAAGGGCAGGAACTGAATCCTGTTAATGTCAGTACCCCAAACTTGATAATCAGTACTCAAGTGTTGCTTGGAAGTTAAACTTGGCTTAAGATGGAGAAGGGCAACATTGTACCCATTTGCCCTAAGAGGTAACACATACACAGTGCTTACCAGCTGGAATTACTTTGTCCACCCAAGTTTAGATCTCAGTATCTCAATACCATCACTTCCTAGTTATAGAATTTGGGGCTATTATGCTACTCCGTCTGCCTAAGCCTCAAGTTTTTTTTTTTTTTACTTACACAATGGTAATCACAATAGCACATGGCTGTTTTGTACATAGTTAAATGAGATAAGTATGTAAGTCCTGATTTGATGAGAATTTCCTAACTGGCAATTATCAGTATTTGCCTGTATAGTATACTTTATCATGAAGTTTGCCTAGAGAAGATACTTCTTGACCATACGGAAGGAGAGGCTCATTTAGGGGTGATTTCCCATGCACCCCCAATACACACTTCAGTGTGTTCACAACTTCTTTATATGATGGTGGGGACCACATAAGAAGTCCCAACCTTGCCAGCATATTGTGGCATAAGCCTCCCTAGTATTTTCTGTGGCATCACGTGAATCAATCTGATCATGTAGAGGCCAGGGCACCATATCCAGTGGCTTCATTAGCACTTCAAGAATTTTTCTTTTTCCGATGAAACATGTTAACCAATATTGGTCTAACCTCCTTTCCTACCATGGCAGGGCACACACACACATACACCTGTCTCACTAGGCTTCTGGCTTCCTACTCTTGAGAGCCTTATAATGACTGGAAAAGTAACAGACTCCACAGTGCCAGGAAAAAGAAATTGAAATCAGAGAACATCATGGGTAGGAGAATGATTTGGAGATAGCATGATGGCAGACATTCTCAGGGGCCACAGCCGTCTGTGAGAGCCTCCAAGAAAACTGTACACTTCTTGGAGCTCTTGTTATTGTGTTCAGTTCTACCATCATGACCACTTCTCTTTGAGTTAAATTTTTTATGCTCTTTACAATGCATATACCTCACAGAGCTGTTAGTCATTAATTCCTCTCTTAATTAAAATTCTCTAGTTCACAGCATTATGCATATTGTTTCTATTAGGAGGGAAAAACCCTACAGTATATTGCACTGGATACATTTTAGCTCCTATCTCACTCAAGCTGCACAACAAGGTGAGACTGTCATTAACCCCATTTTGTTGATGAGAAAACTGAGGTTCAAACATCAAATTACTCACCTAAGGGCAACAGCTGGTGAACAGCATTGAAATCATACTCAAACTTAATCAAGCTCAGACCACCAGCCCAGTATATTGGATGTTGTAATTTTCCTCAACTGTTGAACTACATTTTTCCTCAGGCTGGGTCAAGACAATGGAAAGCTACAGCATCCTGGTAGCTCAGGGAAGACCTGTGACCGGGGGTCCAGGAAAGGATATGTATGAGAGGCCTTTAGAAACTCCACCGGTAGCCAAGCTCGGTGGCTCAGCCTGTAATCTCGCACCTTTGGGAGGCTGAGGTGAGTGGATTGCCTGAGCCCGCGGGTTCGAGACCCGCCTGGGCAGTGAGACCTCATCTCTACAATAAATCAAAAATTAGCCGGGTGTGGTAGTGCACGCCTGTAGTTCCAGCTACTTGGAAGGCTGAGGCGGAAGGATCGCCGGAGCCCAGCAGGTCGAGGCTGCAGTGGCCGGGAGCGGTCACTGCACTCCAGTCTGGGTGACAGAGTGAGACTCCAACTCAAAAAAAAAAAGAAACTCCACCCATATGCTTGCAGAAACATACACCCCATAATAAGAAAACTTCTTTAAAGAGAGGCTTTGAGCTTAGATTGTTGAAGGTTGTGGAGTTTTCCAGGCCTCTAAGTTAGAAGAATACCCTATGATTTGTTTTTCTTTAAGTTATACTTTTTCCCCATGTGAATTTGAGTCCTGGGTGGGGGAGCCTCAATATATAGGTTTGAGGAAGGAGACTGATGATCACATCAGTACTCACCAAATTGAGTCATTTTTTCTTTTTCTTTTTTACTCTTCACTGTACAATTGAGGATAGGCATATTTTTAATGGCTTATACTTTATTGATGGTATATTTTCCTCTTCAGAATCCTCACAGTTCCCTACTCTCTTCTCCTTAACAAGTATCACCTTTGCATTATGACATGCCTGACCTACATCCCATTTCTTCTAGCTAGCTGGCTTATCTGAGCTAATACCAGGGTGTTAAGAATTTATAATGCCTCTTTGTACTCATTAGCCTCCCAGGGAATACACTGGAAGCAGTACAAATGTCATGTAAAAGGAGATTTCAATTATACCTCAATAAAGCTGTTTTAAAAATAGATAAATACGAAGAGATTCCAGTGCTGGAACATCTTCCTCAAGACCACACGATCCAAGTGGTCATCACCTCTTGCATGGAAAATGACAATGTCCCCTCCTCTTTGAGGTCTTCCCCAATCCTTCCCTCACCCCGCAAGTGGAATGATTTTTCTTAAAGAACAAGTTGACTATTTTAGTAATTTATTTAAGTCCTGCAGTGGCTCCTGTTTCCTTCAAGATTGTGTTAAAACTTCTTGTCCAAAGCTTCCAACACCCTGCTGAGCTCCCAGCCTCTCCTCTGGCCACTTCCTACTTTGAAGTTAATGCTTAATGAAATGCTTTCAGCCCTTGAATGTGGTATACTATCTCTGGTCTCTGGTCTTTTGTTCATAATATTCCCTCTGCCCGGAGCAAATCCCATCCTTTCCACCTTTCTGCCTCATCCTTTAGAATTGGTACCATTTTTTCAAGGAAGCATTTCAGGAACCCTCCAACATGTCTCATGACCCAAAATGAGTTAAGAGAACCCCCACTCTTCCTCTATCACAGACTGAAATCACTAGACTGCATCTCAATAATTTTCACTAGGCCATAAGTTCCCTGGGGGGAGGAAGCTTCTCTGTCTTTAGTTGCAAACCCTGTGCCTGGCACATAGTACTCAATAAATATTTGTTGAATGAATAAACAGAGATCCCCAAACACACTCTATTGGTAAGAAATACCACCCAAGCAAAAGGAGAGACAATAGGAATTTTTAATGCATGGACAGTCCTGCAGGGGCTCTGGGAAGACCCACAGGTAGCAGGAAGAGGCAGGGGTCCTGCAAACTCAATAATGTCCAAAAGTAAAAATAATGAGAGAGAGAGAGAGACAGAAAGTCCTTAAAGACCCAAGCTTCCTCACTGCAACAATCCTCAAGGCTTCCTTCCTGATGCTGAAGAGGTTAAACTGTCTCTCCATAGCCTCCTCCAGGGGTCCGTGGCAGGAAGGAAACTGAGTGTGGCAGGAGGGAGGGAGAAGAGGAAAGGCCGCTTGGTCTCCACCTGAAAGCTCCTGCCTCGGTATTGGCTGCCATCCATAAGAAAAGGCTTAAAAAGGAGAGACTTTTGATAGAGTCAAATAATATCTTTGAAAAAATAAAAGATAGAGAAAAACGAATAATTCCATTGGTTACAAAGTCCTCTGTCCTCTATCCACAGGAGAAACAGTTTGCTTTGGCCTTGCTGGCAAGCTTCATCTGCTAGGCCCATCCTCAGCTGACCCCAGCCCACCCAGGCCCCAGGATCCATGAGAATACTGCTCCCCCTCTCATGGAGAGTCTCTGTGCTCATGGAGGGCAGTACCCTCCCTCACCGGCCCTTGGACTCCCCATACGTGTTTCGGGCCATGGACACCATCTTCTCCTCGCACGTGATTTTGGTGTCCTTGAGGATGCTGTACCACACCATGCCTGCAGGCCGGACCTCCTCGCTGCGGCAGAAGAGGTAGGGCACCGTTTCCACACGGCTCTGGATGTGGGCACTCCGCAGGAGGCTGGAGCAGTGGCTGCTCACCCTCTCTAGTCGCCGCAGGATCAGGTGGGCCTTCCTGAAAGGGAGGACAAGACAGCAATGATTAAGGAAGAAGCCCAGATCAGGGGTTAGGCCTTAGTGGAAGGGAATAAAGACCAACAAACAAATGAGAACTTCTTGTCCCAACAATTTGCTATATATTCCTGACTTTCATGTGGTATTTCAAACACTTATTCAAAAATTACTAGCTAGACTCAGTGGCTCAGCCTGTAATCCCAGTGCTTTGGGAGGCCGAGGTGAGTGAATTGCCTGAGCCCGTGGGTTAAAGACCCGCCTGGGCAACTTGGCGAAACCTCATCTCTACAATAAATAAATAAAAAATTAGCCGGGCGTGGTAGCGCGCGCCTGTAGTTCCAGCTACTTGGAAGGCTGAGGCAGAAGGATCGCCGGAGCCCCACAGGTCGAGGCTGCAGTGACCGGGAGCAGCCACTGCACTCCAATCTGAGTGACAGAGTGAGACTCCAACTCAAAAAAAAAAAAATTACCTTAGGACGTGTGCTCTTCAATTACTCAATGTGTGAAAAATGAAAGAGAGCTATAGCCTTTGGCCTAGGATTTTTGCGTCTAAAATATGGAAGACCTGGGATTTAGAAGGCCACCAGCCTTGGGGCTCTGACTAAATTGAAACTATTGTAATAATGATAAAAAATAACATTAATAACAACTAGAATATATTGAAACCATGTGCTAGACACTGGGCATGTACCTTACATACATTTTTAAAAACATATTTAATCTTCCTAATTATCTTGAATATATTCTTTCCATCCTCATTTAATGAGTGAGGAGCCCAAGCAAGGTTCAGAGTCAAGACATTAGTTGATCAAGTCATACATTAAGTTTGAATCTAGACCCAAACACCCACGAAGTTCCTCTCCAGCTGTCTGTGTTCTTGCTTCATTAACTCCTCATACTCTTTTCACCCAGCCAGGAAATTTGGAAATCTTGCTCTCTGAGATTCTCTTTCAACCAATCCTAAATATATGTCCCCAAATCCATGTCTCATTTTTTTAATCTCTAAAAGAGTGATGATAGTCTTGTCCTTGCAAGTTGAGTATGAAAAAATGCCGAACCTCTGGCTCAGAATAAGCCTCCAATAACCAATAGCTGCTATTATAAAGAATTATTACAATGATGCCTTGGGATCAAGGTCAAACTGAACACTAGTCTTAGCAGGAATCATTCTATACCATGATGTTCATCATTAGGAACTTATCTAGAGCCCTGTATCCAGCACCAGAGAAAGGATCTGTGAGAGATCTGATGGCTGCATAGAGAAAAATTTAAAAGTCTTTGCAATCACTTAATCCAGGGTTTTACAACAGTGGCACTATTGATGTTTTGGGACTGATAATTTTTGTTGTGAGAACAGTGCTATAGGATGTTTAGCAGCATCCCAGGGCTTCAACTCACTGCCAATAAACGCCCACCCCAGTCATGACAATGAAGTTGTCAGAAGACATTGTCAAATGTCCACTGGAGAATAAAAACCACCCCACATGAGAAACACTGACCTAGTCTGACCTCTTATTAAAAATGTGAAAATTGAGGCTTATAGAGGGAGTGGAATGTCTTTTTCCCAGGTCATATTGCAAGTTAATTTCAGTTTCAAAATATCTGTCTCCATGTAGAACTCATTATTCTCTATGCTCCAGTATCTTCAAGATACCCAATCACCCTGGGAGGCTACATGAGAGGTTCTCTCTCCTGCTGTCCTCTCCATGCCCTCTGATACTGCAGGAGGGAGGGAGTTTTATGACAACAGACCCCACAAATAGGAGACTGTGTTAGGCACCTGCATGGCAGCTGAAAAAGGACCGGGCTTATGAGTGTGCATTTTGTGGGCACGATTTATGAGGTGCCTTTCGAAAAGTCCTCTTTGTATAGTTCACCACTTGGGTGGAATATTTCCTGAGGTGCCAACAATTCATCACTTCATAATCACACTCTCTCCACAGTCCTCTCTCCTCTAGGGCCAGCGCCCCTCCCCCCACCAAGAGGAGCCCAATGAGTTTCTTTCTTAGACTTCCTCATGTGAGCTCCTGCTCTGTTCCTTCATAACACTGTTTCCTTGGGAAGTGTATTTAACATCTCTCAACCTGTTCCTTCTTTTGGAAAATGGGACTGTCATGAAGTTGAAGGAGATAAAGTCATTCATTGCTCATTTATTGAGTATTTATTATATGGCAAAGCTTCCGATTCAGTGGAAAAGAAACAAATGGAGATTACAATACACATGACAAGAACAATAATGAAAAGAAGTCTCAGGACCTGTGTAAAGACAAAAGAAGGTACTCAAATAGGATCAAGGATGTCCAAAAAAGTTTCCTAGTGGAAGGGAAACTCATACTGAATCTTCTAAATGAATAGGCATTAGATAAAGAAGAGGAAAAGGCATAAAAGGCTGTACAGGTAAAGGCATAGAGAGAAGAGACTGCATAGATATCCTGAGAATTTATGGCTGGAATAGAGTGTACTAGAGGGGACACAGTGGAACACTGGAGGTGTGGGCAGGAGCCAGGCCATTTAAGTTTAGAAACTGAGGCATTGGTTACATGATGGAGTAATGATATATCTACAGGCTCTAGAGCACTGATTGCTCAGGTTCAAATTCCAGCTCTGCCACCAACTTGCTATGTGATAGTTAATGAATTGCTTCACACTTGTGCCTCCGTTTTCTTACCTCACCCATAAAATGAAAATAATAACTGTATTCACCACAGTGTCTTGTTAAAAATTAAAAAGGAATAATAAATCTATAATAAATGTTATCTATGATTATTGTCTCAAGGGTAAGTGAAGAATTGTTGAAGGGTTTCAAGAATCAAAGTAGCAAGTTTAGAGCTGAACTGCTTAAAAATATTTATAGTTGCCTTGAGGAAAATTAAGTGGATGGAACCACATGGCAGCAGGAGACCTGACAGAGGGCATATCCGGGTGTTAACTGTTTCCAGTTGGTGTACTTAGGAGTGTTGGTTTGATTTTTATTCCTGTATAGGTAAAAACTTCTCGGTCTCCTTTTTTAAAAAAAATCTATGAAAGAGAATAACATATGGCTCAGTCATAGGGTTCTAGTAGGGTTAAATAAGTCAATACATGTCAAACTCCTAGAAAAGTGTCTGGCACAGAGTATGCAGTATGCACCTGATATATGTTAGAGAATATCATCTCCATCATCATTACCACCACCAGCAGGCACTGATGATGTTGAAGTAGTCTAAGATATGAATTGAGTCTTTATAAGTCAGTGACAAGAGGCAGAAAGACAGAAATATAAACAGCCTCTAATTCAGGGGCAAAGTGCTGGGTTGGAGACTACGCAGGGTGCTATGGGATTACATAAAATGAGCACCTACTCATCAGTTTGGGGCTCAGATAAGTCTTCTTAGAGGATGTAACTAACACCTAAGCTATGTCCTCGATGATAAAACTTTTTTTTTTCCAGGTAGATGAGAAGGCAGAGGAAATAGCTCATTGCAAGTTAGACTGGAGGGGGCATGAGCTTCCAGTTGTTTGAAATGACCAGTGCACATAATGGGTAGGAGACCAGGAAGCTTGGCCAAGATCAGACCATCCAGACTCTTCTAAGCCTTGTAGAAGCATGTCTGATCCAGACAGTCATAAAAATAATCAATAAATATAAATAAATACAAAATAAGGAGTTAGAAAAGGCAATTCTTCCAACGTGTCCAAATGCTGTGCCTCCAAAAGAACAGCCATTTCTTCAAAGAGAGTCTTGGAGCTCAACTGGACAAAGCTTCCTTTTGTATGGATGAGAAACTGAGATTTGAAATGAGAAAATGATTTGCCTTAAAGGATCACCTTAAGATAGTAACAAAGGCAAAGCTAGAACCAAGGTGCCTGATTGCAGAGTCAAGGTGAACTGGTTGGCTCTGGAGTCCCAGAGTCATATCCCTAGTTCTATAACTTATAGCTACATGGATTGTGAGAAAGTTTTCCAATGCCACTCTTAGTCATGGCATTAGTAAAATGCAAATACTGATAGTGCTGTTGGGCAGACAGATAATATGGGTTATTACCTATTGTTTAGCTTTAAGTAAATGTCAGCCATGATATTATAGTACAAAGCACATAGGCTTTGGAGCCCATTAGGACAAGTTACTTTATCTCTCTGAACCTCTGTTTTCTCATTTGTAAAATTAGAATAGAGATATTTATTTTGTAGGGTTGTGGTTAGGCTGAGATAAAATGCCTGCCACAGGCATCTATCACAGGATTTTGTACATACTAGACACTAAACAAGTGTTTGCATTTAGACAACAGGACAGAAGAGCCATGGAGGGAAGGATTGGAGGGGCTCAAGGGTTGGAGAGGAGGAGGAGGAGGAGGGAAAGTGAAAGAGACCAAAGGCAAAAGTGCTGGGTAATAAATTGTAGGCAGTGGAGATTCATAAATCCATGGTCAAGCATACTTCAAGCTTTCCCTGGAGGGGAAATCATAGGTCAGAGTGACCACTTTCCTCAAATACCAGAAATGAAATCTCTCTCTCTTTGGAGATAGGACTCGGGCCCACTGGGATAGGAAGCAAGAGGTGAAGGAGGGACACCACACACTAATCTATCTTTGTATTAGCAGGCAAGATTGAGACAAGGATGGCTTGTGAAGGAGTCAGTGGATGGGTACAGATGACACTTCTCCAGGAACCGTAGAATCTTCTTTTTTTTTTTGAGTTGGAGTCTCATTCTGTCACCCAGTCTGGAGTGCAGTGGCCACTCCCGGCCACCGCAGCCTCGACCTGCTGGGCTCCGGTGATCCTTCCGCCTCAGCCTTCCGAGTAGCTGGAACTACAGACGCGCGCTACCACACCTGGCTCATTTTTGATTTATTGTGGAGATGAGGTCTCGCCAAGTTGCCCAGGGAACCGTAGAATCTTTAACCAACCATTCTATTCCCAGTATCATTACACAATCAGCTGTTGACACAGTTTTCAAAAACTCAAATTCTAAGGGGGCCCTGAAATGGAGGCAAAAAAAAGAAGCAATAAGGAAATGTTCC